AGGAGGACCAGACATCAGCAGGGTAGGAGGACCAGACATCAGCAGGGTAAGAGGATGAGAGGACCAGACATCAGGAGGGTAGGAGGACTAGACATCAGGAGGATAGGAGGATAGGAGGACCAGACATCAGGAGGGTAGGAAGATAGGAGGACCAGACATCAGGAGGGTAGGAGGATAGGAGGACCAGACATCAGGAGGATAGGAGGTTCAGGCCACAGGAGGGTAGGACGACCAGACATCAGCAGGGTAGGAGGATAGGAGGACCAGACATCAGCAGGGTAGGAGGATAGGAGGACCAGACATCAGGAGGGTAGGAGGACCAGACATCAAGAGGGTAGGAGGACCAGACATCCGAAGGGTAGGAGGACCAGACATCAGGAGGGTAGGAGGACCAGACATTAGCAGGGTAGGAGGACCAGACATAAGCAGGGTAGAAGGTCCAGACATCATCAGGGTAGGAGGACCAGACATCAGGAGGGTAGGAGGACCAGACATCAGCAGGGTAGGAGGACCAGACATCAGCAGGGTAAGAGGGTAGGAGGACCAGGCATCAGCAGGGTAAGAGGATAAGACGACCAGACATCAGGAGGGTAGGAGGACCAGACATCAGGAGGGTAGGAGGACCAGACATTAGCAGGGTAGGAGGACCAGACATAAGCAGGGTAGAAGGTCCAGACATCATCAGGGTAGGAGGACCAGACATCAGCAGGGTAGGAGGACCAGACATCAGGAGGGTAGGAGGACCAGACATCAGCAGGGTAGGAGGACCAGACATCAGCAGGGTAAGAGGGTAGGAGGACCAGGCATCAGCAGGGTAAGAGGATAAGACGACCAGACATCAGGAGGGTAGGAGGACCAGACATCAGCAGGGTAGTAGGACCAGACATCAGCAGGGTAGGAGGACCAGACATCAGGAGGGTAGGAGGACCAGACATCAGGAGGGTAGCTGTCCATCCAGCTGGCCAACATATAACATTGTTAACATTGCATGAGTCCCAAATGGCACCCTATTCCCTATATACTGCACTACTTTTGACCAGTGCCCATCGGGGAATAGGGTGCCATTTGGGACGCATCCATTGCCCTCTGAGACTGAGTGAGAACTCTCTGGAAGGGTATACACAGTGCTTTATATTTCTCTCTAGCCACAACAGAGGACAGTAACATACACAGTGACATAAAATATTAACGGTATGTTCTATTTCCACTCACCTCGTCCCCAGGCTCAATTCAGAGAGAGCCCGCTGGGGACGAGGTTATATTTGCACCTAAATTGCCCCTGGCTTAAGTGTATAGACATGAGGGGAGGGTACGTACAGGAAGTTTATAGACATGAGGGGAGGGTACGTACAGGAAGTTTATAGACATGAGGGGAGGGTACGTACAGGAAGTTTATAGACATGAGGGGAGGGTACGTACAGGAAGTTTATAGACATGAGGGGAGGGTACGTACAGGAAGTTTATAGACATGAGGGGAGGGTACGTACAGGAAGTTTATAGACATGAGGGGAGGGTACGTACAGGAAGTTTATAGACATGAGGGGAGGGTACGTACAGGAAGTTTATAGACATGAGGGGAGGGTACGTACAGGAAGTTTATAGACATGAGGGGAGGGTACGTACAGGAAGTTTATAGACATGAGGGGAGGGTACGTACAGGAAGTTTATAGACATGAGGGGAGGGTACGTACAGGAAGTTTATAGACATGAGGGAGGGTACGTACAGGAAGTTTATAGACATGAGGGGAGGGTACGTACAGGAAGTTTATAGACATGAGGGGAGGGTACGTACAGGAAGTTTATAGACATGAGGGGAGGGTACGTACAGAAATTTATAGACATGAGGGAGGGTACGTACAGGAAGTTTATAGACATGAGGGGAGGGTACGTACAGGAAGTTTATAGACATGAGGGAGGGTACGTACAGGAAGTTTATAGACCATGAGGGGGAGGGTACGTACATGGAAGTTTATAGACATGAGGTGAGGGTACGTTACAGGAAGTTTATAGACATGAGGGGAGGGTACGTACAGGAAGTGTATAGACATGAGGGAAGGGTACGTACAGGAAGTGTATAGACATGAGGGAAGGGTAACGTACAGGAAGTTTATAGACATGAGGGGAGGGTACGTACAGGAAGTTTATAGACAATGAGGGGAGGGTACTTACAGGAAGTGTATAGACATGAGGGGAGGGTACGTACAGGAAGTTTATAGACATGAGGGGAGGGTACGTACAGGAAGTTTATAGACATGAGGGGAGGGTACGTACAGGAAGTTTATAGACATGAGGGGAGGGTACGTACAGGAAGTGTATAACATGAGGGGAGGGTACGTACAGGAAGTTTATAGACATGAGGGGAGGGTACGTACAGGAAGTTTATAGACATGAGGGGAGGGTACGTACAGGAAGTTTTATAGACATGAGGGGAGGGCACGTACAGGAAGTTTATAGACATGAGGGGAGGGTACGTACAGGAAGTTTATAGACATGAGGGGAGGGTACGTACAGGAAGTTTATAGACATGAGGGGAGGGTACGTACAGGAAGTTTATAGACATGAGGGGAGGGTACGTACAGGAAGTTTATAGACATGAGGGGAGGGTACGTACAGGAAGTGTATAGACATGAGGGGAGGGTACGTAGGCCTCTTAACTTAGACATCTGCTCTGAGACATTTTGAGAGAGACAGAGAGAGACACAAGAACATCTGGACATCTGTTAGTGCAAAGTGAATTGGAGTACACCCTGGACATCTGTTAGTGTAAAGTGAATTGGAGTACACCCTGGACAATCAGAAATGAGGAGAATGTTGTCAAGTTGAGAAGAAGAGTGATCTGGACTCTGGACTGAGCAGCATTGTACCAGGACTGGGTTTCCATCTGCAGACTGACTGGTCAACACATCAGACAGATTAGTACTAAGATATCCATAACAATCCCCACTCCATTATCTTGCACCATGATGTTAAAGTAAGTAATCAAATTACAGTACTTCACATAGAACTACACATAATCTGCATGGCATCTTTTCAATAAACTACCAAAGAAGTTGGTAGACTGAAACCAGGAATAAGTCTCAGAATCTCCCATGACCCACTGTCAAGTAATCAACATTTAACCACTAGTGCTTTCCTGTGGCCATCCTGGGGAACTGCAGAGGTTCAAATCCTGATCGCACAATACAGTAATGCATTTCAGAAAACAAAGACTTACCAACATATAGGATATTATTTTATTTAAAAAAAAAATAATTACAGTGAAATATTGACCAGCATAATGGTGATTTGGTACAATAGTAAGCACGTCATTTCTAAATAATCAAGGTGCAAAACTTATATAGTTGAATACCATTTCATTTGAATTTTTATTTAAGATAGGAAGTGCATTTACATTTCTTAGATCACTTTAATTGGTTATAGAATGGGATTAGCCTATTGGTATTATACGAGGGAGGGAATTGATTGCCTGTGTTAATGCCATTTCCCTTTGAAACGTCACAAAGTCGCACTGGATCCGTAGACGCCAATTCCAGCAGGTCTATTTAGGCACTTTGAACATGTCAACAATAAAACACCTTCAGAAAAAAACAGATCAATGCACAATCAAACAGGAAGAACAACATATTCCCATGGGTTGTAAAATAATTAGCGTCACACTAGCAAACAGAAGTAGCAATACGATCCGTAGAAAACTACTAGTCATGTGACCAGTACCATGCCTAGGGTAAAAGCAACTGAGCAATAGAAGCATACCCACGGTCATTCACCCTTGACAAGAAATCGAATAAAAAGCATTCCGTATAAAAAATAAAAAAAAGACAGTGTAAAACATTATGACAAATAATCATACTAGTTATGGCAAGTTCATAGCAGTACAGTAGGGAGCCTGTACGTAGCCTGTACGTAGCCTGTACAAAGCCTGTACGTAGCCTGTACGAAGCCTGTACGAAGCCTGTACGTAGCCTGTACGTAGCCTTGCAAATCACTCAACTGTTTTCCCTGAAAGTGAGTCTACTGAATCGTGTCCTAAACTACAGTAGTAGTTCAGTTACTGCTTGTTTGGGCCAGTATCCACAAAGCGCCTCAGACCGTAACGGTCAAACTGATCCTAAGTCAACACTCCTGTGTATACAGGCCCAGTTCTCAATCGACGGTTTGATGAGAAGAGATGAAAGCCGAAGTTCCCTTGAGAATAAAGAAGACAGAAGTGTCAGTACACCAGTTCACTGAATGGTACATTACGTTCCCTGTATCCACCATTTAATTAGAGTGGACAGAGAAGGACATTTACCCACCGTTTAGTTATTAGAGTGGATAGAGAAGGACATTTACCCACCGTTTAGTTATTAGAGTGGACAGAGAAGGACATTTACCCACCGTTTAGTTATTAGAGTGGATAGAGAAGGACATTTACCCACCGTTTAGTTATTAGAGTGGATAGAGAAGGACATTTACCCACCGTTTAGTTATTAGAGTGGATAGAGAAGGACATTTACCCACCGTTTAGTTATTAGAGTGGACAGAGAAGGACATTTACCCACCGTTTAGTTATTAGAGTGGATAGAGAAGGACATTTACCCACCGTTTAGTTATTAGAGTGGACAGCGAAGGTGATTTACCCACCGTTTAGTTATTAGAGTGGACAGCGAAGGTGATTTACCCACCGTTTAGTTATTAGAGTGGACAGCGAAGGTGATTTACCCACCGTTTAGTTATTAGAGTGGACAGCGAAGGTGATTTACCCACCGTTTAGTTATTAGAGTGGACAGCGAAGGTGATTTACCCACCGTTTAGTTATTAGAGTGGACAGCGAAGGTGATTTACCCACCGTTTTAGTTATTAGAGTGGACAGCGAAGGTGATTTACCCACCGTTTAGTTATTAGAGTGGACAGCGAAGGTGATTTACCCACCGTTTCCGTTTGATTATAGTGGACAGCGAAGGTGATTTACCCCACCGTTTAGTTATTAGAGTGGACAGCGAAGGTGATTTACCCACCGTTTAGTTATTAGAGTGGACAGCGAAGGTGATTTTGAGGCAGCCCAGTTCTTTCCCCACAGCTCCCAGCACTCCCTGTACTCTGTAGTGTCCGTTGGTCAGCCAGTAGGGAAGGTCAATGTCAGGGAGGTAGAAATCTGACTCTGGTAGTGTGTACACCCCCTTAGAACAGACAGGAAATAGAGGTTCAACCAATACACTTTCTCTGTGTCCCAAATATCACCCTATTCCCTATATAGTGCACTACTTTTGACCAAGGCCCATTGGGCTCTTTTCAAGGGTAGTGCACCTTGGTCAAAGTACTATATATATATATAGTTTATAGACATGAGGGGAGGGTACGTACAGGAAGTTTATAGACATGAGGGGAGGGTACGTACAGGAAGTTTATAGACATGAGGGGAGGGTACGTACAGGAAGTTTATAGACATGAGGGGAGGGTACGTACAGGAAGTGTATAGACATGAGGGGAGGGTACGTAGGCCTCTTAACTTAGACATCTGCTCTGAGACATTTTGAGAGAGACAGAGAGAGAGAGAGAGAGAGGACACACAAGAACACCTGGACATCTGTTAGTGCAAAGTGAATTGGAGTACACCCTGGACATCTGTTAGTGTAAAGTGAATTGGATTACACCCTGGACATCTGTTAGTGTAAAGTGAATTGGATTACACCCTGGACATCTGTTAGTGCAAAGTGAATTGGATTACACCCTGGACATCTGTTAGTGTAAAGTGAATTGGATTACACCCTGGACATCTGTTAGTGCAAAGTGAATTGGATTACACCCTGGACATCTGTTAGTGTAAAGTCAATTGGATTACACCCTGGACATCTGTTAGTGCAAAGTGAATTGGAGTACACCTGGACATCTGTTAGGTAAAGTGATTGGATTACACCCTGGACATCTGTTAGTGTAAAGTGAATTGGAGTACACCCTGGACATCTGTTAGTGTAAAGTGAATTGGAGTACACCCTGGACATCTGTTAGTGTAAAGTGAATTGGAGTACACCCTGGACATCTGTTAGTGTAAAGTGAATTGGAGTACACCCTGGACAATCAGAAATGAGGAGAATGTTGTCAAGTTGAGAATAAGAGTGATCTGGACTCTGGACTGAGCAGCATTGTACCAGGACTGGGTTTCCATCTGCAGACTGACTGGTCAACACGTCAGACAGATTAGTACTAAGATATCCATAACAATCCCCACTCCATTTTATATAATAATATAATATAATATAATAATATAATAATATAATTTTCTTGCACCATGATGTTAAAGTAAGTAATCAAATTACAGTACTTCACATAGAACTACACATAATTTGCATGGCATCTTTTCAATAAACTACCAAAGAAGTTGGTAGACTGAAACCAGGAATAAGTCTCAGAATCTCCCATGACCCACTGTCAAGTAATCAACATTTAACCACTAGTGCTTTCCTGTGGCCATCCTGGGGAACTGCAGAGGTTCAAATCCTGATCACACAATACAGTAATTCATTTCAGAAAACAAAGACTTACCAACATATAGGATATTATTTTATTTAAAAATAATAATAATTACAGTGAAATATTGACCAGCATAATGGTGATTTGTTACAATAGTAAGCACGTAATTTCTAAATAATCAAGATGCAAAACTTATATAGTTGATTACCATTTCATTTGAATTTTTATTTAAGATAGGAAGTGCATTTACATTTCTTAGATCACTTTAATTGGTTACAGAATGGGATTAGCCTATTGGTATTATACGAGGGAGGGAATTGATTGCCTGTGTTAATGCCATTTCCCTTTGAAACGTCACAAAGTCGCACTGGATCCGTATACGCCAATTCCAGCAGGTCTATTTAGGCACTTTGAACATGTCAACAATAAAACACCTTCAGAAAAAAAACAGATCAATGCACAATTAAACAGGAAGAACAACATATTCCCATGGGTTGTAAAATAAGAAGCGTCACCACTAGCAACAGAAGTAGCAATACGATCCGTAGAAAACTACTAGTCATGTGACCAGTATTACATTTACATTTGACATTTTAGTCATTTAGCAGACGCTCTTATCCAGAGCGACTTACAGTTAGTGAGTGCATACATTATTCTTTTTTATATATCTATATATTTTTCTTTTTACTGGCCCCCCGTGGGAATTGAACCCACAACCCTGGCGTTGCAAACGCCATGCTCAACCAACTGAGCTACATCCCTGCCGGCCATTCCCTCCCCTATCCTGGACGACGCTGGGCCAATTGTGCGCCGCCCCATGGGTCTGCCGGTCGCGGCCGGCTACGACAGAGCCTGGATTCGAACCAGGATCTCTAGTGGCACAGCTAGCACTGCAATACAGTGCCTTGGACCACTGCGCCACTCGGGAGATACAGTACCATGCCTAGGGTAAAAGCAACTGAGCAATAGAAGCATACCCACGGTCATTCACCCTTGACAAGAAATCGAATAAAAAGCATTCCGTATAAAAAAAGAAAAGACAGTGTAAAACATTATGACAAATAATCATACTAGTTATGGCAAGTTCATAGCAGTACAGTAGGGAGCCTGTACGTAGCCTGTACGTAGCCTGTACGTAGCCTGTACGTAGCCTGTACGAAGCCTGTACGTAGCCTGTACGAAGCCTGTACGTAGCCTTGCAAATCACTCAACTGTTTTCCCTGAAAGTGAGTCTACTGAATCGTGTCCTAAACTACAGTAGTAGTTCAGTTACTGCTTGTTTGGGCCAGTATCCACAAAGCGCCTCAGACCGTAACGGTCAAACTGATCCTAAGTCAACACTCCTGTGTATACAGGCCCAGTTCTCAATCGACGGTTTGATGAGAAGAGATGAAAGCCGAAGTTCCCTTGAGAATAAAGAAGTGTCAGTACACCAGTTCACTGAATGGTACATTACGTTCCCTGTATCCACCATTTAATTAGAGTGGATAGAGAAGGACATTTACCCACCGTTTAGTTATTAGAGTGGATAGAGAAGGACATTTACCCACCGTTTAGTTATTAGAGTGGATAGAGAAGGACATTTACCCACCGTTTAGTTATTAGAGTGGACAGAGAAGGACATTTACCCACCGTTTAGTTATTAGAGTGGATAGAGAAGGACATTTACCCACCGTTTAGTTATTAGAGTGGATAGAGAAGGACATTTACCCACCGTTTAGTTATTAGAGTGGACAGAGAAGGACATTTACCCACCGTTTAGTTATTAGAGTGGACAGAGAAGGACATTTACCCACCGTTTAGTTATTAGAGTGGACAGCGAAGGTGATTTACCCAGCGTTTAGTTATTAGAGTGGATAGAGAAGGACATTTACCCACCGTTTAGTTATTAGAGTGGACAGCGAAGGTGATTTACCCACCGTTTAGTTATTAGAGTGGACAGAGAAGGACATTTACCCACCGTTTAGTTATTAGAGTGGACAGAGAAGGACATTTACCCACCGTTTAGTTATTAGGGTGGATAGAGAAGGACATTTACCCACCGTTTAGTTATTAGAGTGGACAGCGAAGGTGATTTACCCACCGTTTAGTTATTAGAGTGGACAGAGAAGGACATTTACCCACCGTTTAGTTATTAGAGTGGATAGAGAAGGACATTTACCCACCGTTTAGTTATTAGAGTGGATAGAGAAGGACATTTACCCACCGTTTAGTTATTAGAGTGGACAGAGAAGGACATTTACCCACCGTTTAGTTATTAGAGTGGACAGCGAAGGTGATTTACCCAGCGTTTAGTTATTAGAGTGGACAGAGAAGGACATTTACCCACCGTTTAGTTATTAGAGTGGACAGCAAAGGTGATTTACCCACCGTTTAGTTATTAGAGTGGACAGCGAAGGTGATTTACCCACCGTTTAGTTATTAGAGTGGACAGCGAAGGTGATTTACCCACCGTTTAGTTATTAGAGTGGACAGCGAAGGTGATTTACCCACCGTTTAGTTATTAGAGTGGACAGCGAAGGTGATTTACCCACCGTTTTAGTTATTAGAGTGGACAGCGAAGGTGATTTACCCACCGTTTAGTTATTGGAGTGGACAGCGAAGGTGATTTTGAGGCAGCCCAGTTCTTTCCCCACAGCTCCCAGCACTCCCTGTACTCTGTAGTGTCCGTTGGTCAGCCAGTAGGGAAGGTCAATGTCAGGGAGGTAGAAATCTGACTCTGGTAGTGTGTACACCCCCTTAGAACAGACAGGAAATAGAGGTTCAACCAATACACTTTCTCCGTGTCCCAAATATCACCCTATTCCCTATATAGTGCACTACTTTTGACCAAGGCCCATTGGGCTCTTTTCAAGGGTAGTGCACCTTGGTCAAAGTACTATATATATATATATATATATATAGTATAGGGAGCCATTTGGGATACAGCCTCTGAGTAAAGCATGCTTTACTGTATAGAAAGGTATGCACCCTTAGGAGAGAGAAAATAGGTCATTTGAACACAAAAGACATTGAGTAAACAGAAAAACGTATCCTTGAGAAAAACAGAATGAGTACTGAGCAACAGAACGTTCAGTGCAAATGTTCAGAACATTCAGAGAACGTTTAGAACTTTGTTGTTTGGCTAGCTGCTGTACAACAAAGAGTGCTGTCAACGGACATTCACTACATTGCACTGAACAGGATATGAAAGAGGGAAGTAGCCTAAGCGTTAACCACTGGAGGAACACGTTCTTTCTACATCACATATCTAGACTCACAGCTTTAAAGGGACAGTGGCAGGATATGAACTACAGTATAGACTCACAGCTTTAAAGGGGCAGTGGCAGGGGATGAACTACAGTATAGACTCACAGCTTTAAAGGGACAGTGGCAGGATATGAACTACAGTATAGACTCACAGCTTTAAAGGGACAGTGGCAGGATATGAACTACAGTATAGACTCACAGCTTTAAAGGGGCAGTGGCAGGATATGAACTACAGTATAGACTCACAGCTTTAAAGGGACAGTGGCAGGATATGAACTACAGTATAGACTCACAGCTTTAAAGGGACAGTGGCAGGATATGAACTACAGTATAGACTCACAGCTTTAAAGGGACAGTGGCAGGGGATGCCGTAGGTGTGTAGAGGTTCAGGACAGTCCGTTCCGGGCGGTATCAGTTGGTTGAGCAGGTCACAGCCGTCTGTGTAGTGGCAGCTCCCTATCTCTTCCAGACACGGGACCTTGACCCAGAACCCTGCCACCTCCTTCTCCAGCGTCACGTTCACCTAAGAGGAGAGAAATATATAGGGCCAGTTAACTGGGTTGTCTGGAAAAACAGTGGGCTACAGTAACAGTATGCCTATCCACAATGTAGGCCAGCACAAGGACAAAACGCTGTTATTCAACTACTCTACAACGTTTGATTGGCCAATTTGCATCCTAAATAGTTAACTGGGATGTTATGAAAAACAAAGTATATAATCCATGGGTTATGACAATAAAACTATCTTGACAGACGTACCGCCAGGCTTGGTCAAGTTACCTAAGAGGAGAAAATAGGTCCAGTACTGTGGTGTTAAAAAAAAACCAACGAATGTCAGGCTATTCTTGACTTGTACAATGCACCCTAGTTGTTTCCAGCAAAGCAGAAACGGTTCTATTCTTCCCTTGCAATGATGTCACCAATGTTAAGAGAGAATCAGGGGTAGGCTATTGCCATGGAAGGAAAGGAATAATCTGACACTGATCTAGGTGATTGATTTCCAGGAAGAACAGTCAAGTCAGTCTTCTCTGCATTGCATCAACTAAACCAATAGAAGTTGGGAACAACTGAATGTCCAGTATGTGAAAGCTGTCTGTTGCAAAAACGTTCATAACGCAACATTACATTGGCGCATTCTTGAACAGAACACTGCCATCACCACTGCAAATGCCATTCCTTCTCTTGTGAACTCTGCATTGTAAGGGTGAGCATTGAATCAGGAAGTCTACTGTACATTTCATATCTATTTGGGCCACCGGTGCAGCAGAGCAGAGGTTTATGTGGTGAGCTGCTCACATGAAGCTCATCCGTGTCGTGAGTCAGACAAACCTCCCCACAGGCAAGTTTCTACCTGTTTAACAACACAGGACCCAGAAGCACCCAGAAGCACCAACAGACACACACAGACAAAGTGGAATAGGCTCTCACATGTCTGAATAGGCCTACAGACTGATGTGGCAAAGTAACAGCTTTCAATTCCCTGTTGGTAAGTTTTTCAGGAGGAATTGATGGTCTCTTATTTAGTAGGACTATAGTGTGTCAAACTAGCTTTGATTGTGACCATTTTTATACACAAAGAGCCTATTCATTCGGAAAGTATTCAGACCCCTTGACTTTATCCACATTTTGTTACGTTACAGCCTTATTCAAAAATGTATTACATTGTTTCTCACCTCATCGATCTACACACAATACCCCTAACGAAAAATAAAAAACAGGTTTAGACATTTTTGCATATTTATTAAATACAAAAAATGGAAATATCACATTTAAATAAGTATTCAGACCCTTTACTTCTCTGCGGACCCTCTTAAGCTCTGTCAGGTTGGATGGGGAGCGTCGCTGCACAGCTATTTTCAGGTCTCTCCAGAGATGTTCGATCAAGTTCAAGTCCGGGCTCTGGCTGGGCCACTCAAGGACATTCAGAGACTTGTCCAGAAGCAACTCCTGCGTTGTCTTTGCTGTGTGCTTAGGGTCATTGTCCTGTTGGAAGGTGACATTCAGGCCAAAGAGTTCAAGCTTGGTTTCATCATACCAGAGAATCTTGTTTCTCATGGTCTGAGAGTCCTTTAGGTTCCTTTTGGCAAACTCCAAGCGGACTGTCATGTGCCTTTTACTGAGGAGTGGCTTCCATCTGGCCACTCTACCATAAAGGTCTGATTGGTGGAGTGCTGCAGAGATGGTTGTCCTTCTGGAAGGTTAGGAAGAGTCTTGGTGGTTCCAATCTTCTTCCATTTAAGAATGATGGAGGCCACTGTGTTCTTGTGGACCTTCAAAGCTGCAGACATTTTTTGGTACCCTTCCCCAGACCTGTACCTCGACACAATCCTGTCTCTGAGCTCTACGAACAATTCCTTTGACCTCATGGCTTGGTTTTTACTCTGACATGAACCGTCAACTATGGGACCTTATATAGACAGGTGTGCACCTTTCCAAATCATGTCCAATTAAATGAATTTACCACAGGTGGACTCCAATCAAGTTGTAGAAACATCTCAAGGATGATCAATGGAAACAGGATGCACCTGAGCTCAATTTCGAGTATTTACATTTACATTTTAGTCATTTAGCAGATGATCTTATCCAGAGCGACTTACAGTTAGTGAGTGCATACATTTTCATACTGGCCTCCCGTGGGAATCGAACCCACAACCCTGACGTTGCAAGCGCCATGCTCTACCAACTGAGCTACACAGGGCCCATAGGGTCTGAATACGTATGTAAATAAGGTTTTTCTGTTGATGTTTTTAGCAAACATTTCAAAAAACCTGTTTTCACTTTGTCACTTTGTCATGTCATCATGTTATGGGGTACTGTGTGTAGATTGAGGAGAAAAAAATTATTTAATAAATTTTAGAATAAGGCTGTAACGTAACAATATGCGGAAAAAGTCAAGGGGTCTGAATACTTTCCAAAGGCACTGAATATGCCTAGTAGTTAAGAGCGTTGGGCCAGTAACTGAAAGGTCGCTGGTTCGAATCCCCAAACCAACTAGGTGAAAAATCTGTCGATGTGCCCTTGAGCAAGGCACTTAACCCTAATTGCTCCTGTAAGTCGCTCTGGATAAAAGCTAAATGACAAAAATATATATTTCTTTATGTATTGTATAGTCGCGGGAAGTAGTTTTGGGGTGGTGCTTAATTATATAACTACCTTTTTTGCCCCCAGACGTCTATATCGGTCCGTTAATACAGGACTAGTAAAGGCTCAGTGCACTGCTTTGGTAAAAAATAAATACAAATGTTTTGTAATATACAGTACCATTCAAAAGGTCTTTCTTTATTTTTACTATTTTCTACATTGTAGAATAATAGTGAAGACATCAAAACTATTAAAATAACACATGTGGAATCATGTAGTAACCAAAAAAGGGTTAAACAAATCCAAATATATTTTATATTTGAGATTCTTCAAAGTAGCCACCCCTTTTGCCTTGATGACAGGTTTGCACACTCTTGTGTCTCATTCTCTCAACCAGCTTCATGAGATAGTCACCTGGAATGCATTTCAATTAACAGGTGGGCCTTCTTAAAAGTTAATTTGTGAAATTTCTTTCCTTCTTAATGCGTTTGAGCCAATCAGTTGTGTTGTGACAAGGTAAGGGTGGTATACAGAAGATAGCCCTATTTGGTAAAAGACCAAGTCCATATTATGGCAAGAACAGCTCAAATAAGCAAAGAGAAATGACAGTCCATCAAGACATGAAGGTCAGTCAATACGGAACATTTCAAGAACTTTGAACGTTTCTTCAAGTGCAGTCGCAAAAACCATCAAGCGCTATGATGAAACTAGCTCTCATGAGGACCGCCACAGGAAAGGAAGACCCAGAGTTACCTCTGCTGCAGAGGATAAGTTAATTAGAGTTAACTGCACCTCAGATTGCAGCCCAAATAAATGCTTCACAGAGTTCAAGTAACAGACACATCTCAACATCAACTGTTCAGAGGAGACTGCGTGAATCAGGCCTTCATGGTCGAATTGCTGCAAAGAAAGCACTACTAAAGGACACCAATAAGAAGATGAGACTTGCATGGGCCAAGAAACACGAGCAATGGACATTAGACCAGTGGAAATCTGTCCTTTGGTCTGGAGTCCAAATTTGAGATTTTTGGTTCCAACCGCCGTGTCTTTGCTAGACGCAGAGAAGGTGAACGGATGATCTCCGCATGTGTGGTTCCCACAGTGAAGCATGGAGGAGATGTGATGGTGTGCGGGTGCTTTGCTGGTGACACTGTCAGTGATTATTTAGAATTCAAGGCCCACTTAACCAGCATGGCTACCACAGCATTCTGCAGTGATACACCATCCCATCTGGTTTGGGCTTAGTGGGACTATCATTTCTTTTTCAACAGGACAATGACCCAACACACCTCCAGGCTGTGTAAGGGCTATTTTACCAAGAAGGAGAGTGATGGAGTTCTGCATCAGATGACCTGGCCACCATAATCCCCTGATGGTTTGGGATGAGTCGGACGGCAGAGTGAAGGAATAGCAGCCAACAAGTGCTCAGCATATGTGGGAACTCCTTCATGACTGTTGGAAAAGCATTCCAGGTGAAGCTGGTTGAGAGAATGCCAAGAGTGTGCATAGCTGTCATCAAGGCAAAGGGTGGCTACTTTGAAGAATCTCAAATATATTTTATTTTATTTGTTTAACACTTTTTTGGTTACTACATGATTCCATATGTGCTATTTCACAGTTTTGACGTCTTCACTATTATTCTACAGCACAAAAAAATAGTAAAAATAAAGAAAAACCCTTGAATGAGTAGGTGTGTCCAAACTTTTGACCGGTAGTATATATATATTTTCTTCTGATTTTTCAGGGGTTGCTGCAGCACCCTTAGCACCCCTATATCCTGCGGCTATGGTAACAGAGGAGTATGTATATACATGTGTTAAAGACAGGCAATACCATATGCCTACCTCGAAAGCTAATGGTTGGTTAATTCAATTCACTAGCTACTTTAACAAATCAGTATACTTCGTTAGTAATCAAATAGCATTCAAGATCTCATTTGAGCATTTGAGGAGGACCCTTGGTGCATGCCTTGTACTCACAGCAAGGGGAGCGGCCAGCTCGACCGTTGTGGTCCCGGATGCACTGGCCGTCAGGTCCCCTGGAACTGTGATGGGGTCCGGGGACAGGGCTAGGATCTTCAGAACCGCTGGGTCGTCCGGCTTACCGCAGTTCTCCCATGAGAACCCAAAGATCTGTGCAAGAATATTGAATAGTCTATGTTACTGTACTATACATAATGAATTGAGTAGGTTAATGAACAACATTTGAATAAATGTAAAGATATTTCACTCACCTTCGCAGAATATGTCGTGCGCGTTTTGTCGAAATCCAAAGCGCAATTCACCTGCAATACAATGCATAGTGTTATCACATTAACAATACAGTTGTTCATTGTGCTCAACTAGTCTACAGCAGAGCTAGAAAGAATTACGGTTAATTCAAGATAACAGAATGCGCGTAAACTAAGACTGTGCACGGTTGAAACGAATCGGTAATGACTGTCTTAACACGTTGAGGCGGTGCAGTAAAGATTTGTTTTCCCATCCCATGAATTCCAGTATCACTTCCGTGTTCATCAAATCAAACCCGAGGCTCGTTACAGACTTCTTCTTCTGTGGGTTTTATGGCGGACTACAACCCATTTTTGGGTGTATTTTGCCGTCACCAACTGGACGGGTTGAAACCAAAACAATGTAAAAACAAAATCCAGACGTAATAGGGAAACTAACTTAATCCACCCAAATAAAAATAGTACAATAACAAAAGAAAACTTCCTTCTTTCAGTTCTCCATATCTCTCTTTTCAGGCTCTAGGGCCTGAGAGGGTGGTACGGCTTGTGACAATATTCCATGTAACTCCTCCGCCAAGAAATCTTTCAGCCCCAGGAACTGCTCAGCTGCTTCCACAATTATTTCTATCTTCCTGGACCTTCTCCCCACCTTGGCAGTGCCATTTATCACCATAGCTATAAAGGCCACAAAGTCCACCTTCTTAACCATTTAAAATGTCAGGATCCTGCTGGTGAAAGGCAACCCCTGCAGCCTGCAGTGAAGGCCTATCCACCACCATGGACTCTTCAACATCTACTTCCCAAGAGACTCCAGATATAACCCCCTTGAGGGGTGCCCTGTCCCTAAGACACACAGGACACTTCAAACGTATCAAATCGGGTGAGACGCAACACATGTTTCTTCTGATCCTCAGAAGCACAAAACATAAAAACCAGCCCGCTTCTCGTGATCATCACAGCTTTCACTCTCACCAGGACTCTCTCCACCAGTTTGGATATCTCAAATTGATTCCTCAAGATTGGTAATTCGATCAGCTGGCCCTCAATTACAAACAGTACTCCTACAAGATACGACGTGACATTCTCATCACTGTACTCTACTTTGCTACGTTTTCCTTTCTTTTGGACAATATTTCAATTCTCCTTGGTTCTACCGCCATTAGATTCAGAATCCACTTCCGCTATCTTTTTTCAGTCCGACATTCTCCTGCAACTCTCGAAAAAAAAAAACTCAGTCTTCCTCACATTGTCTAGTGACAGACTTCTATAAAGTAGACGCAAATGACAATGGGAGAATCTCAATACTTTCTCCTCGCGTCCTCTCTCCTCGCCTCCTTCTCAAAATCCATTGGAGAAGAAGGTCAGATGGGCGGGACCTCTGGCTCTCTAATCCAATGGAGTTTGAGAAGGAGGCGAGGAGGTCGAGAAGAGAGGACGCAAGGAAATCTTCCACAGTCAGAAGCATATTTACCAGATGCATTAGAAGCTTACTTAACATATGTATTAGTTTTGGTAATACATGTAATACATCACTTGATACCTCCAATCAGGAAATTGGTCTTTAATCTTTAGATTGACAAATTGTGATACAGGTTTTTGTGAACAAATCTAATCCATAGTCTGTCACCAGCATAAAGAAAATTCAGTGGTTGCCAGAATTGATCATACCTTCAGTAAGTAGCCACACATCTCAGCAAAAACTGCCATCCATTAGTATCCCATCCAAGTTCCAAAACAAGCATTGCAGTTAAACCCATGGGATAGGGTTAATTGGTTGCTTGCCTGAGGCACTGTATTTTGAAGACGATGCCTACACTCTGGCCTTCTCGCCCATAGTAGTAGACTTGCCTATGGGCCATCTCACTCGTTCTACAGTGCTGTTGATCTGCTACCCACCACAAGATGGCGATACTGTCTTTATTTCCTCTCCCTGTGAACAGCATGGCATGGCCTACTCTCGGAGCTTTGGCCTTGTAGACAATGTTGAAGGCAAAGTCCAGCTGCACAGTGTCTTGCACAAGTTGTTTTGAATTGAAATGTTGAAGTGGCATTTTCAAATCCTTCAGGTGTTATAACACTATAGTAGTGTTGTAGTCAGTCATATAGCCTATACCTAGTCAGTCATATAGCCTATACCTAGTCAGTCATATAGCCTATACCTAGCAGTCATATAGCCGATACTAGTCATTAGCCTATACCCTATACCTAGTCAGTCATATAGCCTATACCTAGTCAGTCATATAGCCTATACCTAGTCAGTCATATAGCCTATACCTAGTCAGTCATATAGCCTATACCTAGTCAGTCATATAGCCTATACCTAGTCAGTCATATAGCCTATACCTAGTCAGTCTATAAGCCTATACCTAGTCATCAGTAGCCTATACCTAGTCAGTCATATAGCCTATACCTAGTCAGTCATATAGCCTATACCTAGTCAGTCATATAGCCATACCTAGTCAGCCTATACCTAGTCAGTCATATAGCCTATACCTAGTCAGTCATATAGCCTATACCTAGTCAGTCATATAGCCTATACCTAGTCAGTCATATAGCCTATACCTAGTCAGTCATATAGCCTATACCTTCGGAATGTATTCAGAGACCCTATTGACTTTTTCCACATTTTGTTGGTGGCCTTATTCAAAAATGGGTTAAAACGTTTTTATTTTTCTCATCAATCTTCATACAATACCCCATAATGACAAAGCAAAAACTGGTTTTTAGAAACGTTTGCAAATGTATAAAAAATAATAATAAAAAAAACGTTCTTTACATAAGTATTCAGAACCTTTGCTATGAGACTAGAAAATGAGCTCAGGTGCATTCTGTTTCCCTTGATCATTGTTGAGATGTTTCTACAACTTGATTGGAGTCCACCTGTTACAAATTCAATTGATTGGACATGATTTGGAAAGGCACACACCTGTCTATATAAGGTCGCACAGTTGACAGTGCATGTCAGAGCAAAAACCAAGCCATGAGGTTGAAGGAATTGTCCGTAGAGCTCAGAGACATGATTGTTTTGAGGCACAGATCTGGGGAAGGGTACCAAAAACTTTCTGCAGCATTGAAGGTCCCAAAAACACAGTGGCCTCCATCATTCTTAAATGGAAGAAGTTTGGAACCACCAAGACTCTTACTAGAGCAATTGGGGGAGAAGGGCCTTGGTCAGGGAGGTGACCAAGAACCCGATAGTCACTCTGACAGAGCTCCAGAGTTCCTCTGTGGAGATGGGAGAACCTTCCAGAAGGACAACCAACTCTGCAGCACTCCACCAATCAGGCCTTATGGTAGAGTGGCCAGACGGAAGCCACTCCTCAGTAATATATTTTTATTTTACCTTTATTTAACTAGGCAAGTCAGTAAAGAACACATTTTTATTTACAATGACGGCCTACACCGGCCAAACCCGGACGACGCTGGGCCAATTGTGCGCCGCCCTATGGGACTCCCAATCACTGGCGGTTGTGATACAGCCTGTAATCGAACCAGGGGGTCTGTAGTGACGCCTCAAGCACTGAGATGCAGTGCCTTAGACCACTGCGCCACTCGGGAGTAAAAGGCCCATGACTACCCGCTTGGAGTTTGCCAAAAGGCCCTTAAAGGACTCTCAGACCATGAGAAACAAGATTCTCTGGTCTTATGAAACCAAGATTGAACACTTTGGCCTGAATGCCAAGCGTCACGTCTGGAGGAAACCTGGCACCATCCCTGCGGTGAAGCATGGTGGTGGCAGCCATTTTAGACACAGAACAAGGCTGTCTAGCACACAACCAACTGCCTGGTGTTGCTGTAGTCAGTTCTCATTGTCAATATGAGCTAATGCAGTAGCCGGACTAGCTATAGTGTGATAGCACAGTTCCTTCTGTGTTTTCTAGTTTATACATGACTAAGCCTATACAATCAACACAAACAAATGAGCTAATCAAGATTCCCTGACCGCAATAGGCCTTTATGAGTTCTGTTGGAGCGTAACCAAATCTTTGACGTTATCAAACAGTCGACTCTCTCTTTCTCAGCCAGACAGACGGTAGGACAGGGTGTGACAGACATGCTCCTCTCACCAAAGTGCATCCCAAATGGCACCCTGTTCCCTAATATTGTGTTGTACTATAAGGCTCTGGTCGAAAGTAGTGCACTAAATAGGGAATAGGTTACCTTTTGGGACGCATCCCCAAGTCTCATCTTGCACCTTCCTTGATTGTCTGAGCTGATCTTTCATCACTTGTGTCTCTCCTCCTCCTCCTCCCTACCTCTCTGTCTCAGACATTAGGAAATCACTCACACTAAACTCACACTAAACTGTATGAAGAGGATTTAAACAAAACATCTTTCTCCCATCTCTCTAGCCTCTATCCTGTCTCTACCACCTGGCTCCAACTGTGAAGGCATGCTGTGAAGCCATGCTGTGAAACCATGCTGTGAAGCCATGCATCATCATCAGTATTGTGGTGAAATCTTCCTTCACGTGTTTCATAGACCTCATATGGTGTTATTATTATTATTATTATTATTATTACTATTATTATTATTATTATTATTATTATTATTACTATTATTATTATTATTATTACAGTCTGTCAGTCCATATCAAGCACATGTTTTCCATGTATCTTAATGAACCCTCCTGTTAATTATTTTCATTGTATCACTGTCAGTCTGTTTCTTGTTACGTTTATGTACATGAAGGGAGGTTCTGGGAAGGTTTTGGTGTCATTCCATATCAAAATCACACGTAATGAAGTTGGAAACGTCTTGTTATATTCCTGGCTGGTCTATCACAGTATACCTATCAACCTGTTGAGGAAATGTCAAATCATGAGTCAGACAGATAGTTTATTAACTGTAATGTCACGTCATGAGTCAGACAGATAGTTTATTAACTGTAATGTCACGTCATGAGTCAGACAGATAGTTTATTAACTGTAATGTCACATCATGAGTCAGACAGATAGTTTATTAACTGTAATGTCACGTCATGAGTCAGACAGATAGTTTATTAACTGTAATGTCACATCATGTGTCAGACAGATAGTTTATTAACTGTAATGTCACGTCATGAGACAGACAGATAGGTTATTAACTGTAATGTCACGTCATAAGTCAGACAGATAGTTTATTAACTGTAAGGTCACATCATGAGTCAGACAGATAGTTTATTAACTGTTATGTCACGTCATGAGTCACACACATAGTTTATTAACTGTAATGTCACATCATGAGTCAGACAGATAGTTTATTAACTGTAATGTCACATCATGAGTCAGACAGATAGTTTATTAACTGTAATGTCACGTCATGAGTCAG